GAAGGAAGGAAGGAAGGAAGGAAGGAAGGAAGGAAGGAAGGAAGGAAGGAAGGAAGGAAGGAAGGAAAGAAAGAAATCCATATTGTAGGAAGAGCAGTATACTCACACCTTTGAGTCATACTAAAAGCTTGGGGACCCAAAAGTGATTCTGTGTTAAAAGCATTGACATGCTTTCCAGAGGGCTGGACATGTAGATTGGACAGAGATGTGTAAACAGGGAGCCTTCTCTCCCCCACCACCTATTCCTAAATACCTGGCAAATTACTGCTTCCCAAATTACCACACAGAGGCTTTTATTAATTATAAATTTTTGGCCAATTTCTCAGGCTTGTTACTAACTAGCTCTTACATTTAGAGTAACCCACTTCTATTATTTTTTTGTATTGCCAAGTGGCCATGGTTTTCCCGGACCTCTGGCATCTGGCTTCTTAGGCGGCTGACTTACATCTCTCCCTTGACTCTGCCTTTCTTCATCCCAGTCCTCAGTTTGAGTGTCCCACCTAACTTCCTGCCGGGCTACTGTCCAATCAGCATTTTATTAGCAAATGAGAGTAATACATATTCATAGTGTAGGAAAGGATTGTTCCACAGCATTTTCCCTTTTGTCTAATTAAAAAGGTTTTAACTTGAACATAGTAAAATTATATATAACAAAAACAGTTTCAAGTAAGAGCCACAGTCATAATATCCAATCTATTTGCATTTGGTAAAATCAGAGAAATACTCCATTTTCTATCTTATTTTTGCGAGTTCAAAGTCTTATACTTAATTTGTTTTTTATCATAACTAAGGAAAACTCTCAGTTTAACTATTTAGTCTTTAACTCCATCAAAGACCCCAGAAGGATGAAATGTTACCTAATGACAGGGACATCAGGCTGCCTGGACAGTCGCCTGAGGTTCCCCTGCAATGTCGGGGCATCTAACTAGACTATCTGACAGACTTTCCTGTGAAGCAGGGTATTGGAGAAATTATTTTGGCCACTCCACGTAGTTAAAAGGATATTTATTTAATGGCATAACTCACAAATTAAGTAATGGGTAGGTCGCAGGGTCTGGGGAAGGTGTATTGCAATCCAGCGGTGTTCTCCGGAGCTCTGCACAATCCACCTTTCACCAGTCCGCGTCCCGGCACCGAGAGAGCGCACAGAGAGAGCACTGGTGTGGTGGTAATCTAATTGTATTGAAATATTATTTTGATTTGTACTGAAATATTAATTTGATTGTATGTTAATAAATAAAGTTGTCTGGGGGTCAGAGCTATTAGAGCCATAGCAAGAGTGTGGCGGTGGTGGCACACGCCTTTAATCCCATAAGATCTCTGTGTGTTCAGGGAT